AACAATTCTCAGCGGGTTTGAACACAATCGAAAGTGTTTGCGTGTACATTTGTGTCCTTAGGTTTGTGCATGACTGTCTCCTGGAGAGAGTCACTCCCTTAGCGACACCCCCTCCACCCGCTTCCTCCACCCTCCCACTTCCTTTTGACTTCAGCTGTAAGTTAAAGGAGCCACATTGAAATTCTCCGGTTTTTGGGAGGGGCTATTAATTAATATTCTCAGCTCGGTGGGCGTAGGTCAGTGACCCCTCAAGGCGGTGTGTGCATGTGTGTGTGCACATGTGTGACCTCTGGCCCCTCCTCTTCTGTCCACCCCCATTACCCTCTGCTTTCAGAGGCAAGGCTCTCATGCATAATGCAGAGAGAACAGGGAGGTTCTCATTAATAATTACTGCCGCCTTTGATGGATGTAGAAAATAACGAAGGGGGCTGTTAAAAATGGAGAGAGTGAGGTGAAGGCGGGAGGTTTTATTTTTTTCTTTCTTTTTATGGGGGTTTTGTTTGATTTTTAGTCATGGAGACAAGGATCTTATAGAGACAATTATAAGATCTGTTACTTTCTTCTTCTACTACTCTCTAAATTGCACAATTTGCTCATTTTGAAACTGTTGTCTGTATGTTTTCTCTCAGTTTTTTTCCTTCTTCTGGTCTGATGTTCTGTTTACCTGTGGTAGCAGAGGTAATTCTGCCAACAACTAAATGTTCCCCCTCTTTTGTTATTAAGTTTTTACTTTTTATAACTTTGAAAGTCTGCATCAGTTCTGTCTTTTCAAACCTCCAGTCGTTCGTGGCGGACGGTTGCTTGTACTCAATCAGGTTCTGGTTCTGCTGGACGTTTCTTTCTGCTCAAGCAGAGTTTTTCCTCTCCACTGTCACTGCATGCATACTCACATCGGGTATTGCAAGTTTATTATTCAATGCCATCTTCAGACTGTTTTAATAGATCATAATGTGAGCAACGGAGATAGTTTAGTCTTCAAATGCTTTATAAAATTACTTGTTAAAAGATTGATTTTTTGCTACCATTTAGACCCAAAATTTGGTCTGGGCCAGGCCAAAATGATTTGCCTGCTGGATTGTGCATTTTTTATACCAGGAATAAAATTAACACATCTGAAATATATTTACTAATTAAGTGACTTTTGAAAGCAATAACCTGCACTGGATTTTATTTTGAGGTATGAAAGTAAAGGGGCTGAATATTTGCGTGCCACAAATTTTAGATTTTTATTTGTAAAAATCTTTGAAGACCATTTTCCTTCCTCCTAATTTTTTAATTTAGATGTCTGATCACCGTGCTACCTCCTTTTTTTTGTTTTTGCTGGAACATATTTGTGACATTGTTCTTTAAGAACTGTCTGCACTCCTTATGGGAATAGAAAAACTTTCACAGATTAACTTTAGTGAAGTAAAATTTAACAGAATTGCATCATCACTCAGCAATATTTCACAGAAAGAATTTATATGCAAGTGCTAGAGGGGTGAGAAATTCTGCACAATTTGCTGCTGTAATGTTAATGTAGGAAGTGGTTTTACTGGAAAACATCTGGATGTTGTTTGGGATTAAGATGTAAAGAAAAAACTTTAGTTCATTTGTAATGTTCTGAAATATTTAATAGATTATTGCTTCATAAAAGAATAAGGAAAGTTCTCCAATAACGATTGATATTTCAATGAGATATTTCCTCTTGCTCTTATGGAAAAAGTTATACAAAGTTACTGATGGGAAAATAATAAGTTAATGTTTTGTTTGAATAATTGTAGGATGAATGTATGAACTGATATCACAACTACTGTAACTGCTGCTCTCCTTTGTTTTCAAAATCTTTGCAAATGAAAAATGTTTCCTCTGAACGTTGTCAGCACAAGTTTCTGTAATTCAGCTTTTCCCCTCCAATGCACATTTTTATCACATTTGAACTGCACAAGAATGTAGTTTTATTGAGGAACATTGAGTGAAGCAGATTCTCTGAGGCAGCAAACATCCCTTATTGTGAGTTTATTCAGTGTGTGTCACAGAGCAGCCGCTGGTTGCTTGTCTGATTTGATTTGAATGACGACCAGATGAATACTTATGGCCGTTCCGCTCCAGCAGGCCGCTTCGCAGATAGGTTGTGACATTCCATGATGTAAGGTAACGTTTAATCTAAAGACAACAAGATATGCAGATTACTGTGTCAAGGAGACATTTTCTGTGTCAGTAGAGATTGTTACTCTCCTGTGGTGAACACAGATAGGCGACGCAGCAGTACTGCTGATGCATTACAGCAGGGTTAACTTACAGTGCTGTGATCACAACTGATCCATTCATTACAACGGATAAATATAGGCAACATAATCTCAACCACTGCTTTGAGGCCTTGGTTTCAGTAGTCAGGCTTCGGCCATCTTGGGTTAATGCAGCCAGAAGTAACAGACATCTTCGTTAAAGTGCTTAATGCATCCTCTGGGTAATTCCCAGGCTTGCCAAATGTCATGCCAGATTTTAAGGCTCAGAGTAAATCTCACTCAACATAAGTGCTGCTGTATGAAATTGCACAAATGTTGAATGTTGGTATTTTTCTGGTCTAATTTCTCACTTATCTAGGAGTTGACAAACAGAAGTGCTTTACTTGGATGCAGCTGGACTTTTCTCCTGTTTCTTTTCACCTTTCGCCTCTCATCCAAACTTTACAGCTTAGCATTTGGAAAGTTGTTGCTTGTCGCTAACGGTGCCATGTGAGCAGTTTTGGACACATGTCCCAATGTGTGAAGTGCTGACTCGTCTCTGGGGAGACGAGCCTGAGCCACAGAGCAGCCTTACATCACTGCTACCTCCGTCCTTCTGATTTCATTAAAGGGGCAATATTATGTGTTTTACAGGCACATAGTATAATTTTATAGTACATTAAAGTAACTATGTTACCTTTTTTTATTTCCGTTATTTCTCCAGGTCAATCTCATTTTCAAGAGGGACCTGGGCAAAAGTCTGCAATACATAGCAACCTGGTTACAAAATGAAACTAATTAATACATATGCACAAGTGTAAAACAATAGAAAACTAATTAAAAGCAGTGACACTGTTTAATAGAAACTGTTTTTGAGAACCGTTCGAAATAAATTCAGTTGTCATTAAAATGTTTCATACATCAAACAAGACGTAAAAAAGATTTTACATTGCAATTCAACACTTTGAAAACTAGCATTTCTGCACCCTGAATGGCTTTCAGGGTGCAGATTACAGGATGTCTCAAACACGCGTGAAGGAATGACATTATAATGGTTTTATATAGCGACATTTTGATCAGTCTAATCACTTTACACTAGAGTCACATTCACCAATGCATTTATACACAGATCAGTAGGCAGTTTGGGGTTAAGTGCCTTGCTCAGGACACATCGACAAGTGGCAGGAGGAAGCTGGAATCAGACCAACAACCTTCCAATCACAAGACAGCTGCTCTACACACAGAGCCACCATCACTGTGGGAGACTGTGTGAAGCTCAAAAACCAGAATTACATGATGTTTCCCCTTTAAATAGAGAGTGGATAACCACAGACCAAATTAGCACAATTCATAAGTAATGCAAATATTTGTTCATTAAAGTGTCTGCCTGCCTAAGAAATGCATTTCTTAGATTGATGTGGGTAGTATTATGATATGGGATTATTATAATTGATGTCATTAACTGATTTGTAAAATGATTTACACTTTGTGTATTGTGAAAGACGTCAAATCAACAAATTATTGTTGTTTTACACAGAATGACAGTTTTGGTTTCTGTGCAGTTGTAGCTCTGGCATATGGCAGCGCTGAAAAACATCACCCAACCTGGACACTGAGTTACTATTTATTGAACATAGTAGAACATTTAGTGACTGAAAAGCCAATGATTTCCCTCAGGAGGATTTTTCATGTTGAAACTCGTATTTGTTGGATGAGCTCAAACACAGCTTGGAATCCAGCACTGGTGCATGTTTGATATGCAACCAAGAAGCCGTTTGCCAACTCGTTCTCACGTCAACTTTATAAGGTGATTAGCAATCACTGTTGGGTTTACAGCTAGAGCTCCTCCTTGAATTAGTGCCAGAAAATTACCTAACACAATAAGAAACATTAGAGAAGTCCTGACAGGGAAATGTGCCTCTTTAGGAGAACGCTACAGTTGTAATGAAGGGAGCTGATGGTGCGTTCAGTTGGCTGGAAGGCGTCAGCCTCCACTGACTGCAGCTCATAACAACCAGAGATGGAGAAACAGCAGCATTTCCAGTTATGGATGAGCATAAGAATCAGACAAAAAGCAAACGCTGCAGCCAGCAGAGAGTTGCACACTGATGCATTCCTTGATGCAAGAGCTGCTCAGGATTGTAGCTTCTTAAAACCTTAGAAGTGATGGAAGCTGTTTAGCCCTCTAAATCAAGGCGCTTTAGGCCTGGCCTCCTTCCAAACCCACTGATGTAAATCTGATGAAAATGGTGAGAGCGTCTCTCAGATTACAGGAGACGAAAATGCATCGACCTACAGTCCTATTTGCTCTTCTGCAAATTAAAATCTGCATTTACTTTTTTGTGATACTTAAAGATTTCAATAAACAAAGTTTAATATCAGTCAAATATAAACCAAGGTTTTTATAATGAGAAACAATAACTATCCAAACCAATTTGGCATTAATTAAGAAATTCAAGTAAATGTTATCCGATCCAGATATTATGTTTAACTGTTGTGAAAATTTTTTTGTGAATTCTTCTGTTTCCTTTTTGCCTGTTTCAGATTAGCTAAAGAATTATATTGAAAGAAGATAATATGAGTAATTGTCAGAAAATGTTGCTTTTAAACTAAATGTGGCCTGCTTTATGTTGTACATGTCCGGGACTAATCAGGGCTGAGCGTGGCAACTGAAATGAGATATTGGTAGTTTTTTTCATTCCGTGAAAATGCAATGTGATGACGTATTCATGCAGAACATTTCCATCCTCTGTGCTTCCCTTGCATGGCTTCTATGCTTTGTGTTTTCTGCAGGTATGAAGCAGCACAATGACAAGGGTACTCAGTATCATTCAGTCATTTACACGTCCAGCCCAGCTCAACAGGAGGCTGCACTGAAGAGCAAGGAGGCCTTCCAGAAGGTGATCACACACAAACACACACCAGCCCACACATGTGTGTGTGTGTGTGTGTGTGTGTGTCCCATAATGATTTTTTAAACCTCATGTGTGCTAGATGGGACTCACTAAATCATGGTATTTGCACAGCTTTAAAAACTCTTTAAATATCTAAAACTAAGGTTAACTTACTAAAATGTAAGTTTAGTACAAGGTTGAAATCTGCTTTAGTTACTGGTATAAAGTGTTTGGTTAAAATGGTATCGCCATGTGAGTTTGAATTGACCAAAGGGTAAAAAGAAACAAACATGACGGTCACTTTGAATAAATAAGAATAAGTTCATGCAGATGATGTATTTATTTCACTCATTAACCGTTTTTTTGTTATTTGAATCACAATAACTAGTCCGTGCTTTAAGACTTAGTTTGAAAAAACGAGTTCTGTTTGGATCAAACTCATCTCCATCTTTTTAAGCTGAAAGAAGGGAAGAGGGTCAATAGGTCAACCTAACTGATTTCCTTTTAGCAGCACACGCGTCCCCCTTTTGTTCTTTCAGTTCATCTGTCCATCCATCCATCATTTAAAATTGATCCCTGCATCTTCTTGGCTCATTCATCTCCTCTCAGATATAAATGCCATTCATGGACTAGCTGACGGGGGGCAAAGAAGAGCAAATTATCATCTTCCTGGTTACGTTGGGCGCTCTGGGTCAGCAGGCAAGGATCAGAGGGCTGGTATGTTGTCGTGGAAACAACCTCTCAACCTTGGCCTTGAGCTGGGGTCATGGGTCAGGGGAGCTTTGGCAGCTGGGACCAGAGGGATGGGGAGGCGGGGAAGGACAGCAGGAAAAGCTAAAGATGGAAGAAGCCATGTCAGGGGGCCGTCACTGCTGACAGGCTGTCAACTGAAACACACACACACACGCACACACGCACACACACACACACACACACACACACACACACACACACACACACACACACACACACACACACACACACACACACACACACTTTCTGTGGTAATAAACCAGGCACCCTTAGTGTTTCAGGGATCATGAGACTAAGAGATGTGCAACTCAGAGTTTCTACATTCACATCAAAACCTGAACTAAACCAAACTATTTCACAAAACCTGCAGAGACATTTCTTCCTCTTTCTGCTGACCTCATGTCCCACACTGACTTCCTGAAACACATAAACCTTATTAAAGTTGATATTTTTGAGTTTGTCACTTCTCATGCACTGAACTGAGCAGCCAATTAAAGCCAATTAAATTCTGCACAAAATAGGTGTGCAACAAAACATCCAGCAGGTGGAGATACTGAGTTCACTGGAACAAGGCAAATTGAGATCATAAATAATATTTATGAGTCTTTCTTTTTATTTTCCAGACAAAACTAATTTCAAACGTTTTTTGTAAATGAAATCGGTGTGGAATATTCTAGTCTGGGATTGTCTACAGAACTAGTTTGTGTACCTAACTCAGTTATAATCCTAGAGCCAAATAAAGATTTCATATTTAAAGTTATGTCTTAGAATTTATAAGGTCTTGTGATTTTTGAATTATATATTTTTTTAAATAATTTTGGTTTTATTCTTAGGAAACTTTTGTTGACTTCTATTCAAAATGCACAACCGCTTGGATATTTATTTTGGGGTTTTTTGTAAGTCTTTTTGTTTGTGTGTCTATTATTACTGGGTTTTTTTTTCCACTATCACCACCAATGAGCAAAAAAGCACTTGTTTGTGCAGGCAGAGCAGTTTATTATTATCAACTTTACGCTTACTTCATTATATAATAATCAATGTTGCTGCAATTTTTGACACTTGCAGATTAATGCCACAAAAAACTGAAAGACACACAATTCTTCCTCATACAGCGGGCGATGATTAAAAGAGGTAACATCAGGTCAGCTTCTCCATCCCTGCTGAATCAAAAGCATCCAAAGCATGATACTCCCATCGCCGTGTTTCAGCATGAGTCATGCTGTGTTCAGATTCTTCCATCAGTTTTCTTTCTCTAACAAACTGCAAACGAGTTCATATTGCTTTCCTTCGACAGTGGATTTCCCGTTGCTGCACTTCTGGAAAGAAATGATTTGTAGTTGTCCTGGTAACTGTTTTACCTGCCTGAGCTGTGTATCTCTCCAAAGTTTTAAAGGCTTCTCTGATTAAGACTCTCTTTCCATCATCACTTGATGGATTGAGAAGAGCTCTGTGAGATGTTCATTGCCTGATATATTGATTTAAAACCCAACATTTATCAAATCATCTGCATATCTCGCTCCTTGACCTTTGTATTCCTGATACTTTCTCTCTAATGTTCTATCTGAGGCCTTCACAGAGCTCGATTACACTCAGGTGGACTGTTTCACATTACTTTTGAAGGCAATTTGTTGATAAAGAATTTATGTAAGGGTATTGGAGTCAAGGAAATATATCCACATGCATATAATTCTGTTTTACCTGCTATTTTTAGACAACCTGGTGCACAGAATCACCATATCACTGCCTAACTACAGTAATAACATGGATCAGAAGCTTATAAAACCATGCAGGGACATATTAAAACACAGTTGTATTATTTTGTTTTATTGATTTCAAGAAAGGTTTCCAGCAGAGACTCTCAAAACACATTTCTGCATACATTCAGATTCGTTCCTTCCTTCTCCCCACCAACGCTGCTGACACAACCAATCTGTCAAGCACTTTAACGTCACCTCGCTCCCATCAACGGGCCACTGGGGCTCCCATCTTCCTAAAGCGGCTGACACAACCCCAACCAAGATGGCAGCGCGCTGCTCTCAAACACTTGTCTTAGAACGAAGCGAGATGAAGGCGTTGCTCCTGCGTTCGGGGTCTGGAAGACTTTCGTGGCAGAAACGAAGCCTCGTTCACTGAAGTGACAAGAGGGAGTGGATGATGACCAGAGATAAGACAGGCATCGCAAAAATCCAGATTCCAACCCACTGCCGGGGCCGTGAGTCATAGACGTATACACACACACACACACACACACACACACACACACACACGCAAACATACATCTGGCACATACAGGCGCAGCCCAATGAATAATTAACCCATATGAGGAGTCTCCTCTGCAGGGCTTTCAGTTCCTTAACTTCAGTGTTGAGGCGAAGGTTTTGGGGGCTGGGGGGTGAGAGAGGCAGAAAAGCTTGTTTAAGCACAAGAGCGAAGAGGGAGGGAGGGTTAGTGGAGGAGGAGGGGGGAGTGCTGGGGAGAAGGGGGTTCTCTGTAATGAAATTTGAAATTTGCAGAACATCAAAGGCTTCTGTAGCCCAGCCGCTGTGGCAGCAGAGCAGAGAGGAGGAGTGCTTCTCTTTCTCCGTCTCCCCGATCTCTCTTCTTCCCCTTCTTCTTCATCCCTCCCTCTCTGCCTGAAAGTGTCTCCCCAGAGCTGGGTGAGGGGTGTAGGGTTTAGTGGAGGGTGAGAGAGAAGGGATGGGAAGAGTTGATTAGGAGGAGACGGAGGTGGCAGGTGGGGTGGGGGACTTAGGGATGGGTTAGGGGTTTGGAGAGAAAAATGGATGAACGGGGGGCTCTTATATGTGTGTGTGTATGTGCGAACAATGGGGTTTATCAAGCCAGCTTTGAATACGGCGTGCGTGTTTGTGCATGCACATGTGTGTGTGTCGGGCCTTGGAGGAGGGAGTGTGCCCTCTGATAAAGCATCCCAACTTAATGAGCTTGAAAACGGGATGAAGAGGGAAGGGGGGTGACGTTCTGATGATGAGTGGAGAGGGAAAAAAGGCATTTGAGGTTAGAAGTGAAATGCAGAAGCCTGAGGCTGGGGAGCATTAGCAGGTTTTGTAATCAGACTTCGAGTCACAAGTTTACTTTTGCTTTTTATTATCTGAAAAGTGTTCAAAAGTGGGATTTTGATATTCTAATTGTTCCCCAATTTCTGAAAAAGTTATTGCCATCTCCTAAACTGATTGATTTTACTGAGAAATTCGTTAATGAAATGAGTTGTTCTTAATCTGGGATTTCTCTTTTAACGTGAAATCAGGACAGACCTTCCGAGATTTTCTTCCGCTTCACATCTGCCTTAAAAAAACAACAGTAAAACAAGTTTAAGCTCTCATCCCCTCGCTCCAAAAAGCACGTGCATCCCTCTCTGCTCCAGGGATGTAGGAGTGCTGGCTTTCTCGCTCACAAAATGTAGGGGGGCTCGGCGAAGATTAGAGCCTGACTAAAATGGATCCTGACCCATACTGCAGCAGGAAAAGACGAATGAGGAGAGCAGAAAATAAAACTCTCTTCATCCGTCGGGCACATTCAGGACGCATCCTTATCTTCCGTTCCTCTTTTTTTTCCCAACAGCTAAATGCGTTTTATTTGCATTCATTCCTCTTCGTAATCCCCCTCTTTTCATCTGTTTTTCTGCGTCCTGCCATCTCTGCCTCTCTGAGGTCACAGAGGGCGACCCTGGGGCTGCAGCGCGCTCGTCGGCTTGCACCATGTCAGGCTTTTTCATGTGTTTCCAGGCTGAGCCACAGTCTGTCTATTACTAGCGCCTCTTCACCGTAGAGCAGCTTTGATGTGTGCAGTGCGTGCTCAAAAGTGTATTTACATTTTTGAGATGTTGAAGGGCTTTTTTTTTTTTTTCTGAACTCCAGAGTTCAGGTGTGCAGCTGCAGTCGACGCCACTCCAGTTTTAGATCAGAGCAAAGGGAATCCGGAGCTGGATGGGAATGGAAATCCCTTCATCTGTTGTCTTTTTAACTTCTAGATTTATTTAAATGAACTCATCTCGGGTGGAAATTTGCAGTTTATTTTCACTTTTTAACTTTAGCTCTACATGTAGTTTTTATTTTAATATTTAACCTTACCAGGTTTAAGGTATTTGAGATCCAGAACAGAGCCGTGCTCAGAGGACACCAGCTATAGGTTGCTGCTGAAGCTTAACTTGTTTAATTAATAAAATGAAAAAAATGTTCATCAAATGTATTTTTGATTGCACCGAGAAAACATGTAACACAGAACTTTTATATTGT